TTATAACGTTCTTTATAAAAACTACCTTCTTTTATTATACGACTAAAAAAATTTATATAGACAGAGTTTAAAATCAACAAAAGGTTTCAAAATTCATTCCATTAAAACGTATCTTGTTACGATGCAGTACAGTACAATTCCATACTGTACACACCCGAAACTTTGGAAATTAAATAGTTAAAATTTAACTCGATAAAATCTGTAAAATAAGTTTCATTTTGTCAAAGATATTAGATGGTTTCTTACATAAATAATATACAAGATGCATGTGTAATGAATGGTGTAATATTGTAAATAGGACGTGTAATATCCCGGGTTGGACCACAATCAGTTGTGGGTTTTTTCTGTCAAAAAATTCTCAGTAGCAGCCCGAAGTTAAGAAGATGTTTTACCCACATGCCTCAGAAAGCAGGTAAAGTTGTTGGTCCTGCGGCTGATTTCTCTCCGGTCGTGTCGGATAACCGCCACTTCGGATTATAAGAGTGAGAATATAAAGAGTGCACCTGTGCTTGCGCATGCACCTGGTCACTATAATCCAGTCTTCAGCAGATGGCTAGTCTCTGTTTAGACTGGCCGCCGTGACCGAAATTTGGCCGGGAGGATATTATTAGGACGTATAGCTGAAGTGGCAAGGGGTTGGCATTATAGCTCGAAGAACTGACATCCTATGGGGAGGAAAGGTTCTCGAGAGGCAGCCTCATACCGGTAGGTGAAATGAGAAGTGTGAAGTGAAAGCCAACTTCCCACCGGATGGGTGACGCCCTGTTAAGACATGCAAGAAGTCCATAGATGCAGGTTACACGGACCGTGCTTTGTGGCTTTGGGAAGGCCAATATTATACGAAGGGCGTGTAGTGGTGGCGTAAGAGAATCACCTACCTCTAATCATATCGTTTCGTAAGAGTCGACGGAGAGAAAAGAAAGAGGAGATGGGCAGCAGAAACTTCCTGATTTTATCGCAATTTTTTACTATTTTGTGTGCTTGGCAACGGTTGTAGGGCAACTATGGCAAACATCTCCCCTATGAAGCAGTTTATGGATTAGGAGGCTTATATTCAGCAGTTGACTGTTGGTAGGCTGAAATGGATGGATGGATGTTTGTTTCACTTGTCTTCACTTTTCAATAGATAAAATTGTTTTCTTTATAACAAGAATATGAAAACTTCCTTTACACCCTTAATTTTAGGGTCCGATAGTTCGAAGCGATTCGTTAACCGCAATGGAAATAAAACACGCTCCGGAACGCAGTCAAAGCTGATTGCGACTTCCGATTAGAATACAATTTCTAGCTGCAGTTCTCAAAATTCATATTTTAAAAAAATTTTGTGGAGGCTTAATCACATCCTTTTATTTGCAAGAAAATGAAGAAATAACTGTCTCTATTAGATCCCCGCAGTGCTTATTTCTCCAAAGTCATTATGTTGACCGTGCCTTCTCGGTTTTCTTTAAATTATTTATATTCATACAAAAGATTACAAAATCATTAATGTAGTGAGTTTGTATAAAGAATCAGAATCTTTAAGTTAAGGCTAAGAATTAAACTTCATTATTTGTCACATTATCTGGTCATTATTGTGTATGAATCGGTTCAGCTTACTCAGAATGAGCTCGTCAATATCCTATTGAGGAATATTGTCCCTGGTGCTACTAAGATGTTTAAAAAGTTTTTTCTTCTGTAAGCAGATTTTCTAGGGGATTTTGTTATATTATTTTTTATAAAATGGAAGGGACGTAACGAATTGACTGTCCAATTGATGGTAAACACATTCATTGTGTAACTGCAACTAACTTTAAACAGAAAAGGCGAGATCATTTTCACTTTGAGGACTAAAATGATCTGTAATTATTCCTTTATGTTACATTTATTTATAATAATATCAAACGAAAAACTTGAAAGACATTAATTCAGAAGATCAGGAGAGCAGAGTTGTTATAGACTCCCAACGATTAATAGTCTTCTTCCAAACAACGTATATTTTCAGATTAATAATAGATAGAAAGAAGGAACAGGTTTATTTAAAGCTACAATATTTATGTACGTTAACTTTATCTATATAATTCTTCTGTGCGTGTGTTTGTAATTGAATATATGCTAAACAGATGGACCGCTGTTGATGAATTTTTTGTGTGTGGTTTAGCGGGTCTCTGGGTGGTTTAGATTCACAGTTAGACCCGATAAGATAAGCTGTTATCGAGATAAATAGTCACCTTTGCGAAGCCGGACCGGGTCGCTACTTATATCGTACAAATCTACTTTCTTCTTTATTTGCCCGTAACAGTTACATTACACAGTTAACACAACTATTAGGCAGGGATCTCTACCGCTGTAGGAGGATTAGCCTCAATCGTCATGCGTGGCAAGTTGAATAACTATAGATTTGACGCTGCTGCCATCTCTTGTATCAGTTTCCCTCTGTCACTTCGTAAACACCCACGGAATAACTAAGTTAAGGCTGAATGTCGATTTAGCGACATCATACTAATGGCAGGGTGCGCATCGCAAACTCAAATGGTTGTAGGTTCGGAACCGCTATCCGACTACTTTTGTAAATCACTCCTACAACAAGCATTTTCGGCTTACCAGAAGTGGTTAAAGGAATATAACTAATTTTTAATAGCATTGTCAGTATAAAAAAATGGAACAAAATAAAAGAAAACATTTTGAAATATTTCACACTTTATCCAGCTAGCTCAGAAAGAACAGCAAACAATTATATTACACAGTACATTTGCCTTTGTACACAGTGCAACCAGTGAACACTGTTATTTTATATCCGTTTACGGGTTTCCTTACGAGCTAAGGCCCTATCTGCTAATGGAAAACTTTAACTTGGGTTTGTAACTCTAACTTTATGTAACTCCGGCTTTTGAGATCAATAATATTTAAAACAAATACGTAATGTAATCTTTACGAGGTTGTAGTAAGTACAACCCATAATTAATTAATTGTCTGCTTCATTGGTCTAGTGGTCGTAAGCGCGACTGCTGATCAAGAGGTCCCGGGTTCGAATACCAGGTCGGGCCAAAATCCGTTATTGGGTTTTTCTGTCAAACAATTCTCAATAGCAACCCGGAGTCAGGAAGTTGGCAGTGTTTTACCCCCTTGCATTTGAAAACACATAAAGTCATCCGGCGCCTGATCTCTGTCTGATGGAGTCAGTTTACCATTGGACTATGAGAAAGAGGAAATAGGGAGTTCACCTGTGCTTGCGCATACACTTGAGCTCTGTAATCCTGTCCTTCGCTGGTGGCTAGTTTCAGTTGAGACCGACCGCCATGACTGAAATCGGTCTGGAGGACATTATTAATTAAAGCATTTCAATCATTATCTTAATAATGATAGGGCCTATGTTCAGTAGTGGACTTGTGAAAGGCTGTAATGATGATGATGATATGTTTTCTTAGCAGATCTCCAAATACACGTGACGGGACTTACGCAACTTCAATACAACTCGTATCGAAGAAGCGATAAAGCGGAACCAGAGCTCCAAAGTCTTAGCCAGAGACATCTCTGCCAGAAAGAGCCTACTGTCAAAGCTGAAGACCGAATGTGGCAACATTGTTTGCTAAACATCTGAGATTTCGAGTAAGATTGAGAGGTTCAACGGAGAGTACCTGTACACGAAATCACTTGAGCCACACGCAAGTGTGAGTAGCGATCCAAGAGCAAGTCTTATCCGACGCTATTCCGATGATATCCCGAACTTCAGTCTGAGCGAGATTCGAATGGTTCTCCAGCAGCTTAAAAATTCCAAGTCCTCGGGCGACGATGGAATTACAGCGAAGTTTCTGAAAGCGGGTGAAAACTGATACTTAGAATCCTTCACAAGCTCTTCGATTCTGTCCTCCATGGTGGCACTACTCCGGAGGCGTGGAGCAGAAGCGCGGTGCTCTTGTTCTTCAAGAAAGGCTCAGGCTCACTACGGACCAATTCCCTTCTGAGCCACTACTTCGTTTTACTTTTAATAAGTCAGTGCTTAACCACAATCCCACCTGGTAAGTGAACTACTACTAGGTGCTGTTTTAGAGAGTCATTACGAATCGTCTCGCACGCAGACTCGACGACTTCCAGCCTCCCGATTAAGCCAGTTTCTTTTCAGTTCTAGGGTTTAGCACCATAGATCACATACATACACTTCGAAAAATTGTACAGAAGTCCGAAGAGTACAATCTGTCACTTTGTCTTGCGATGTGGACAATTAGAAAGCATTTGATTCCGTCGAAATTTGAGCGATTCTGCAGTCCCTTCAGCGGTGCCAAGTAGATCGTCGGTATATCGAAGAGCTGAAGTGTTTGTATAGTAGGGCTAATATGGCTATCCGAGTACTGAACCAGAGTATGAAATCTCTCCAACTGTAGAGGAATGTAAGACATCTGACGTTATATCCCCCGAAACTCTTCACCGCTGCATTGGAAGACGTTTTCAAGCTACTGGGCTGGGTGTTTCGCGTATTTCGTGCAAATTCCACGACATTTGTAAATGTCAAATTTATTGCCGAATAACTTCGTTTTTCCCCCAATATCTTTAATATCCATAAAATCCTTCAACTTTTTGTGGTTTCTACCTTCCTTGTATAGATAACAATAAAATTACTATCATATCAAAAATCGTAATGAAACGGTAATGAGAACGTTAAGGAAGGGAATGATATTGAGTAGTTAAGTTAAAGGATAGGGATGATGAGGGATTTTCATCGTAGACGTTGCAACTTAAGCTTTCTAAAACACCCGTCCTGTTAGATTGTTTTAGTATTTTATTTGTATTAAGACATTTTATCAACAAATCGACATTAATATGAACTTTGCAAGCGCACGTATTTCTACTGGACTCCTTTGGGTATAATAAATATAATATATAATATAATAGTATAATATACCCATAATGGGCAATATTTACAAAATCTTTGATACGTTACTTCGACATTCGAATTATGCGTAAGTTTTTTGTACAAATTAGTCAAAGTGTCCGTTATGTATCTTTTCTGCCTCCTTATTTGGTTTTTAGTTATATATTTTTTTATCAGCTGCAATTGTAGTCATCTCCTTATCGTCCAAAAACTCCAAAATTAATTGCTCTTTCAAGTTTTCATTTTTAGCTGTCTTATTTTCTTTTTTATCTCTTACTGTAAATATTTTTGTTTGTGTCAAGAGTTTATATTTTTTAAACTTTCCTTTTTCGTCATAACTACATTAGAGAATTCTTTCTTATCCTTTTTCCTCAAGCACTTATACCCTTCTCCAACACTTCTTGAAAGTATTTCACAAACATTAGTCGCTCTTTAATTTCTTCACGCTTTTGTGTATTAACATTTTCTACTAGTTGTTCTACTTTTTCTTCAGTCGATATATTTTCATTTTTCTTCTTATTTTTCATTATTCTATACAACATTTTTCTAATGCCATCTTTCTGTTTCTTCGTTTTTTCTATTTCATGTTTCAAAATGCCTATTTCTTTTTTATGCAGGTAGCGAACCTTTCTCTGAAGAGTATTTTCTTTAGGCACCCTTGACAAGAATTACTATTACCGTACTCCAAACGATTTAGATATGAATTAGGTATGAGGATGAGGCTTAGAGCTGATTGAGTGAGAGGATCTTGTGCAGCTGGATGTACTTCATTGTCACTATTTGGTGGAGAATTATCTATTAACAACTGTTGAATAGCTTTCTCTTTCTTTTTCTTTCATAATGACGTTTTGAATTAACTCTTCACTTCTTTCTCTAAACTCTCAATTGTCTAAGTGTCATATCTTTTGCGCTACTTATTTTTTCTGTTCTTTTCTTTTAAGGTATCTTGCTCTTTCTTTTGCCTTCAGATCTGCATACTTTCAGGATCTTCCTTAATTTCCTCATACTTTATTTGTTTTTGTAATCGATCGCACTCTCGTTTCTGCTCTAATGTTTGTCTGGCTTTCTTTGGCATTATTAGTTCTTAATAATCTGTAACAACACATTATATGATATTGCTCGTATTCTTCATATCAAGCTCATCCTTAATAACTAAAGTAATAAAAAGTACTCTCACAAGGTTAGCTTGTGAGTGTACTATTTGTTAACAAACTTAAAGCTACATCAAGAAACAAAGTAAAAATTATTGATTCTTTATTTTACTATGAATTAAACTATTATTATAACTGTATCGTACTAGTATTATTGTGGAAAAAAATCTCAACTACGGGTTGGACTAGAACTCGCGACCACACGGTTTGTAATGTAATAATGCACTGTAATAAATAATAATAAATTGACTTAAAATTGATTCTAATTGTCATCGTTTTGACCTCATCACCATCGCTAAAAAAACGACGGTAAACGAAAGTAGTGAGGACGTAGATAATGAGGTTTTTATTCTTATCTTATTGTTTCGTAAAAAATGTCAAAATTACGAATCTCGTGCTTACTTTAAATTACGGCGGTAATCACTAGAATTGATAATTAACTACATATTAAACAAAATCATTAATACTCACTTAATAATATGGACGAGAGGAAAGAGGACGATTCCAGAATAATCACCTCCCGCGAAACTTTACACGTAAATATTTTTTTTTCCAAGAACAGGCGTGAACCTTCTACGACGTTTGTTGGCTGGCTGAGACTTGTGCGGAGCGCGGCATGGTGGTATAGTGACATTCACGCCAATACGCGGACTATAATTTAGATTTTCACTAAAACCGATGGTAATCAGAATTTTTTTGATAAACATTTATGTAATAAAATTTCTTTATATTGTGGGGTTATCGTTATTTATTTTAAGTGTAAACGTTGTGTTTTTTAATAAAGTTTCATAATATGGTTATTTTTTATATTTAATGTTTATATTTTTGGTTAAAAATACAATTTTTTTTAGGAGAGTAGTAAATGGACACCGAAGATAATGAGAATTACTGAAGTTTTTTATTTATCATTAATTTATTACGTTATTTTCATCTGTAAATATTACATGCATGTAAGCATTACCACTTTACATTTGATTTCCTTTATAAGAAATGTAGATATTTAATAAAAAAATGAAGACTTTTCTCCTGGACGTGTAATATGCACGAAAAATGAGAAACACCCGGCACAGAGGGATACGGTATTAACGGCAATGGTAAGTACATAATTCACATTCAATTTGCCAACGATATTGTCCTTACGGCAGAATTGCTGGTAGACCTAATCACTTTGCTAAATTACTTTAATAGTTTCTCCCAACGGATAGGTCTTAAGATGAATATGGACAAAACATAAGTCATGTGTAATGGGAGCATTAAGCCGGAAGTTATTTAAGAGTATGTTTACCTGAGGCAAATAGTCCGACTAGGAAAGTCCAACGGTGACCGACAGGTCAATTGACGGATTCAACTTGTCTAAGCAGCGTTCGGGAGATTGTGACACATCTCGTCAAGCATTCCTCCAAACCTAAAAACTAAATTGTACAACCAGTACGTGTTGCCAGTGATGACCAATGGATCTGAGACCTGGTCCTTCACTGCGGATCAAATGAGGAAGCTCAAGGTCACTCAGCGAGCTATGGAGAGGGCTATGCTCGGGGTTTCTCCGCGTGATAAACTTAGGAATGAGGATATCCGCAGTAGAAACAGATCCAACGACGTAGCCCAACGAATATAAGATATAAGAATAAGATCAGTAAGCTGAAGTGGCAATAGGATGGCTAGCTCGAAGAACCGACTACCGATTTTTTCTTCTTCTTTAAAAAAAACGTTACCTCCACACTAGGATTTTCTCCTGTATCGTGGGGGCAGTTAACAAACATCAATTTCACATCCAGACCCGGAACAATTACTTGTAGGCCATACAATACTTGTTCCGTGCGGGATTCGAACCCGCGGCCCTTAGCGCTGTAACTCATTGCTAAGCCAGTGCGCCACGGAGCCGTCGATGGGGAAGAAATTGTCTCATGTGGCAGCCAAGTACCGGCAGGTGAAGTGTAAGACATCCCCCATTAGATGGAGTGATGACCTGGTAATACACGCAGGAAGTCGATGGATGCAGGTAGCTCAGAACCGGGCTTTCGGCATTTCTTTGGGGAGGCCTACTATGTTCAGCAGTGGACTTGCGAAGGGATGTAATGATGATGATGATGATAATAAATATTTATTCCATCAATACGTGCTGATGCAATGCGATGAACCCCCCTAAAAATTTCTTGAGTCGAAATTCATTTTCATTTCATTGAAATGTTTTGTAACCTATATATTATCTAAAATCAGGCGTTAAGGTCACAACTCATTAGAGCCACCCGACCCTCACCGCCTCGTTGCCAGGCGTCTACTCGTAGTCGACAGGTGGACCACGGGTGAACGCCGCGTTGTCACCAGTGACCCCTCTCTCAACTACCTCGCGTGATCAACGAGTGACCCTTAAATCATACAATAAATTATACTTCCAAACTTCTTTTATAAGTTTTTCTTTGTACATTTTAAAAGCAAACAACAATGCGTCCGACACATTCGAAAGAAAAACTCGAAATGAAGTGTGTGAATGGGAACCGCGCGTTGCCAGCTCGCGCTTCACGCGATGCAAGCACTCCAACAGCGAGCTATTATCGAGTGGTCCACTCGCAGTCCGCGCGTGGACACCTCGCGAGCGAGGCTATCCGGTGATGGTACGGAGTTGATGTAGTGAGCGCAGGCCCATACGAAGAATACGAACCGCTCGAGGCTAGGCGGTGAGAGTCGGGTGCCGGGTGGCTCTAATGAGCTATGACCTTTACTTTGGAATTCTAAAAGTTTCTTTACTTACTGAAATCCATTATATTAAAGATGTAAAATTTTCACTTTTATTATTTACATGGATCTTAGCTAATTTTAAACATCTTTAAAAATAAATAAATTAAGTCACAGATATGAATGCAGTTAAACAGATTAAATAACAACAAGTCGGACTGTAGTTTGCCCCAGGCGTTACAGTAATTGCGAAACTTTGAGTTTGAATGTTATGAACTAGGTTTAATTTATGCTTTTCCAACCCTCATTAATTCAGATGTTACTACCTACTTCAAATCTTTAACAGATTTAATGACGTTTGAACGATACTTTATATTTTTCTAGAATTATAGGACAAACGAGCACACAGTTCACATAATGATTAATGGGTTCTAAGGTTCATAAACATTTATCCACGATCCAGAATCTAAATGCAGATGCATTTTCACTCCTAAGGACTAAGATGGAATGCCTCATATCCAGTAAAAAGGATCTCTGGAAATTCATACTCATCATATTGTTACGAGCTTCAGGTTCGTGACAATAAAAACTGCCGATTAAATTACCAAAATTTAGACTTTTATTATCGAACACCAATTAAATTTTAAAAGACACTAATAATTAATCACACTGATTCACTTTATTTCGCTCCGAAGTTTCGCTTGTCTCGCCAAATTCAATACGGCCCCGACCGCGTCTTAATACACTTTTTTCATCGAAACGTCCAGAATATTCAAGCAAATACGCGCGCCAACCGACCAGGCGCAGAAATTTTGAGCCCTCCGCGCTCTGGTCCCCAACACTAGATGGCGCTAGTGCCGGGTACCTGACGTCAAATTAAGCGCGCAACAATATTAAACACAACAGCATAAAACTGCTACTGCTCACTGGTATTGTTAGAGATCGAGGTCATTTCCCATTTGAGTTGGCCAATTGAGGTGCTATAACCATAATATAGCTACAGCATAGCTCTATCACGTATTACGAAATCGATACGCCCTGAGCTTTAATACCAAAAAGTTTTAAGTCTCTTTTTTAAGTTATCGATTGTTTTTCATTCCATTTTTATTATTTTATTGTATTATTTATTTATTTATTCTTTTTTGTACACCACAATAAAGAAACATCAAGTACAGTTAAAACTAAATTAAAGTATGTACAATAGGCGGTCTTATCACTCTGAAAGTGATTTCTTCCAGACAACTTTTGCGTAGAGGAATGATGCAAACTAAAGTTAAAATAGAGGGGGGCATACAAAATAATAATAAAAAATATAATAATACATACAAATAAAGATAAGTGAAAGTTATATATAAAATATCATATAGTAGATTAAATGAAAAGGGTACGAGAAAGGTAAAGTAATTTATTAAATGAAAAGGGTACGAGAAATATAAAGTAATTTATCTAATAGCGTTCTAAATAATACGATTTAACAAGATTTTTGAAAGAGTGAAGAGATTTAGCACGACGAATGTGGAGAGGTAAGGAGTTCCACAATCGCACAGCGGTTACAGTGAAGGATTTCTTGAAAAAGGAAGATTAGCCCAAAGTTGTAGAGAGAGAAAGATTGACAGAGGATCGAAGGAACCGATTATGGGTAAGAGAAAGATACTGGAAACGGTTTTTTAAATAAAGAGGAGTGGAAGGATTAAATAGCACACTATACGACGCGGAGC